AGGCCGGCTTTAGAAGAAATTTTTCAACAGTGGATCACATACACTCGCTAGAGATGCTGATAGAAAAATACCAAGAGTTCAAGAGACCACTCTATATTGCCTTTATCGACTACCAAAAAGCATTTGACTCTCTGTTCCACTCATCAATTTGGGATACGCTACTCTCACAAGGAGTACCACTAGACTACATAAAAGCCATAAAAATATCTATGATAACAATACTAGTAGAGTAAAACTAGAGACTACAGGACCACCCATACAAATAAGTAGAGGTGTACGGCAGGGAGTCCCACTCTCGACAACTATCTTCATCCATCATTGGCAAACTAAATTGGGAAAAATATAAAAGGACGTTACTTGAATCATTTGAGATTTACTGATGACATAGTCTTGCTCTCAGAAAATACGAACCAACTACAAGGAATGATAAACCCTCTATACGAAGAAAGTCGCAAAGTGGGCTTGGATATCAACCTAACAAAAACTAATGTCATGACGAACCATATTGAAAGACCAATATACCTGGAAAACTCACCCCTAACATACGTAAATGCGTACATTTACCTGAGAAAGCAAATTTCATTTATCCAAAGAAATAACGAACAAGAAGTAGAGAGAAGAGTCAACATTAGATGGAAAAAGTTTTGGAGCTTCAAAGAAATACTCAAAAGTAAAATGAACATACGGATGAAAACGAAAATCATGAACATCTGCCTACTGCTCTCATTAACATACGCCTGCCAAACTTGGAAATTTACCAGAAAAGTAAATGGTCATGCCCACTAGGACAGAGAAAGAGAGGAAGACCAAATACACGCTGGGCAGACGATATCATAAAAGTAGCAGGTACTCATTGGTTACGAGCAGCAGAGAATAGAGAGCACTGGGCTTCTCTGGAGGAGGCCTTTACCTCTCATGGAGAGGGTTCTTGTTAAAAAAACATAAAATTAAATATTGTTATGTCAATTACAACAATAACTTCAAATTAAATCAACAACTAACTAATTTTGCTTATACATTTTTAAATGAAACTATAAAATTAAAATAGATTTGAATATATTATTATTACAATCTAATTACTAATTTTAATTTATTTCTAATCTATTTTGCACGCACACTGTTAATGAAATTATACTATGGAATGCAAGAAATAAAAGGCTTTTTTATTTTATTTTTTATTTTTATTTTATTTTATTACCTTCTGTTTATATTTATACATTTTTGTATAATATATTTTTGTCATCTTTAAAAGAATATAATCTAAGTATATTACTAAAATATAGGGATTATATACTCTTTCTAAACTACTGTCTACAGCACATATCCCATGGATACTGTTGACCGTCTGAACTTGTTCGGGGCTGACTGAGATTCAGCGCTGCAAACTGGTGGCTTATGCTGAGACGGTCACTTCCACCTCTTCATCATAGCACAAGATTTTTGTTAAATCTGTGTTTGTATACACGTATAATTATTACGTGGATAAATCAACTAGTAGGTATGTAGTTGAACGGGTCTTAACTGTTGCTATTTTTAGGTATCGGGTGCACTAATTTCTCTCGCTTATGAATTCGGGACTACGCTTACGCCTAGTAGGAGTATCGAAAAAGACGCGTTAAAATCGGTACTTCGGAGCACATATCTTCAGCACAATATGAGGAACTCCATCGCTAGACGTGTTGACCTATGGGGAGAGAAATGCTATGCGCACTGAGCACTGATTTTTTTGAAGGACCTGGAAGCGGAATTATACTTATTAATTTTACTTCTTTCTTCTTGGTGTTTGCGTCCTGCGACATCGATGCGTCAGCCCAGGCCCGGTAGCACTCCTGTTTATGGCGTGGTGCAATTTTATAGGAGCGATCTAACCATAGCTGGGATCTACCTCCGATGGGCACTACAGATGATTGAAAAAGAGGTCCATTGCTTGAAATTCCACATCAGCGACAAAATCAGCAAAAGCGTTGGAATAATCCGGCCAGAAGAGATTTTAAAACACTTCAATATAATAAAATATTTTTCTTAAAATCATACAACTTTATAATCTTCAGAAAGATTTTCTATGGGTAAGGAGGAAAATAAAATTGTGTTTTCATCAAAATAAAAGTTCATTATATTATTATCTTTAATAATAACTTACCCTTGGTTATTATCTTCTACCTAGGTACTTGGAACTAATACCTGCATTAATTAAAACTAGGTCTATTCATTTCGAAATACGCAGTTCCTTTTGCTCCATGATTCTAAAATATTTATATATAAATATTCGTAAAATGTGAGTTACTCAAACATTATCACAACAACAGAAGAAAAAGAAACATTCAAAAGAAAATAATTACCACTTCTCTTGACCAAGCGGCGAGTCACTGGGACGCGCGGTCACATACCTATTCGGTCAGTGCCAGCTTGCAGCGCAATGATTCAATTTTTTTGTTCCTAACGACCACTCCAATAATAAATCACAGCCTAGTTACACGACAGTTTAAGGTCAACGTGAAAGAATCAAGTGAGTGAGTACATAATTCACCTTCGATTTGGCGACGATATAGTCTTTATGGCAGTATCGCTGTAGTACCTAAGCAACGACCTCAATAGAGCCTCTTAACGGATAGGTCTTAAGATGAACATGGACAAAACAAAGATCATGTTTAATGTCTATGTCACATCTATGCCGGTAGTTGTTGGGAGCACTATGCTCGAAGTTGTTGACAAGTACGTTCACCTTGGACAAATAGTTCGACTAGGTAAATCCAACTTCGACAGAGAGGTCAATCGACGGATTTAACTCGGCTGGGAAGCGTTCGCGAAATTACGACATATCTTCTCGTCAGGTATACCTCAAAACCTGAAAACTAAATTGTACGACCAGTGCGTATTGCCGGTGATGGCTTACGGATCTGAGACGTGGTCCTTCACTGCTGACCGTATAAATACGCTCAAGGTTGCTCAACGAGCTATGGAGAGGGCTATGCTCGGCGTGATAAAATTAGAGAGAGTGACTGACATAGCCCAACGGATTAGTAAGTTGAAGTTGCAATGGGCCAGCCAATTAGCTCTAAGAACCGACAACTGATGGGGAAAAAAGGTTTCCGAGTAAGGAGGAAAAGGCAACCTCGTACCGGTGGGTGTAGTGTAGGGCGACCCCCCATTAGATGGAGTGACGACTTGATAGACATGCAGGAAGTCGATGTATGCAGGTGGCTCAGGACCGTGCTTTGTGGAATTCCTTAAGGGAGGCCTATGTTCAGCAGTGGACTTGTGAAGGCCTGTAATGATGATGATTATAATTATTCATCATATCTTTTACCATTAAACTCCCGTAATAGTTCACTGCTGGACTTTTAACAAAAGTGATAAAATTGCACCAAAAGCCCATCTGCTGTTAAGTGGATGCTGTAACTCATTGACAACTAAATATATCCTTGAATAAGATTCAAAATTCTGATGTATTATCACGCTTGATGACTAAGATAAAATACCTCGTAATTAGTAAAAAAGGTCTCCGGTTTTCGCAACTGACGATACGAAACTGTATAATGTTTTATTAAGCTGATATTTTCGACAAGGGCGATCCTTCTACGGTCAAGTGCCGACCTATTCGTGTTGCAGATATAATTTAGCTGCAGCGTGGCTTTACTTATATATGGTTGAAAATGTACATGACCTCACCCATTGTGGTAAAGAATTGCAATAATCAACACGTTTAGCAATCAATATCAACAATCCTTGCAGTACGATGTCTTGCATCTTTGGCGCTGCCGTTGGAAATACACATGTTTTTTTTTTACATATGACAGTAGACAAACGAGCATGCGGCTCAATTAATGGTAATTGACTACCGGAGCACCTGAACAACTGCAATATCAGGTTCTACATTCAAGTAAAATTTCGCCCACAACCTGCACGAGTAGAGCGATCTACAGAACGCTCGAAAGAGCGTAACCTTAACCTTTGAACACCGCGCAAACCTACTAGCCATAATGTTAGTTCTGACAGACAGCGTCGTCCGCTCCCAATCCGTTGCGTGATCTTTTTTTTTCTATCCCGCTTACACAGCAAGCTGTCGTGGACATTTAGCTGTTTCTTTGTCTGAGCTATGTCTGATTATTTCTTTCTTTAAGCAGGGGGAGTTGTCCATTGACCATTCCCACTATTCTTTGGTAAATCGTTTCACGAGATTTGGAACGCTATTCCTTCTCAGTCTTGTGTACACGGTACTTCCAGAACCCATTAATTTAGCAGCCAGAGCGTTAACATGTGAAGTTAATTTTTGTTGGTATTTTAAGCTTCAAGCAGCGATTTCTTGTTTCACAGTATTGAGCCTCAAGTCGTGCAGAATATATTTATTGTGGATGCATTTTGGAATGTTGAACATAGATATAATAGCTTTAGTCTGAAATCTTTCCAGGAGTTCTATGTTGCTATTACTTGCTGTTCCCCAAAGTTCTATTCCGTATGTCCATACTGGCTTTAAAATAGTTTTGTAAACTGCTATTTTGCTTTCGTTTGTTAGCTGAGAATTTTTGCCAATCAGCCAATACATAGATCTTAATTTTGCGTCCAGGGCTTTTCTTTTGCTCCAGATATGTTCTGCCAGGTCAACCTCCTATCCAGATGCATACCTAGGTATTTTGCGGCATTATCGTGTGGGATTTGTTCTCAGTTCAGTGTAATTGGTGGACAGTCGCCTTTTTTTAGAGTGAAGGTGACGTGAACTGATTTGCTTTGATTAGCCTTTATTCTCCATATTTTCAGCCATTTTTCTATCACATCAACATGTTTTTGGAGATGTGCTGATGCGATTGTTGGGTTGGAATTAACTGACATTATTACAGTATCATCAGCGTATGTGGCAATAAAGGTTTCATCATCAACAGGGATGTCAGCAGTGAATATAAGATACAGTATAGGCCCTAATATGCTCCCCTGAGGTACCCCTGATCTGATTTCAAACAGATCAGACGTGGTGTTGTTCAGTTTAACTTCATAGCATCTTTTGTTTAAGTAGTTTTCAGTAAAAAGTAGAAGAAATGCGGCAGCTGTTTTTTGATCTTGAATAAGAGGCCATCGTGCCAGACTCTATCAAATGCCTGACTTATATACAGAAACACAGCCGAGCAATATTTCTTATTTTCAAGCGTATAACCGATGGTATCTGTCAATCTGTGAACCTGCTCAATGGTTCCATTCCTTGGTCTAAATCCAAATTGGTGCCCAGGAAGAATAGCATTTAGATGAGATTGCATTCTATTGAGGATAACTTTTTCGAACAATTTCCCCACCAGTGGAAGGAGACTTATTGGTCTGTAGGATGAGACTTCTTCTGGCTGCTTTCCAGGTTTAAGGATCATTACTACTTGAGCAATTTTCCACTGTCCCGGGTAGTGGGAGAGTCTTATAGATGAATTGAAGAGTGTAACAAGATATATTATGCCACTCCTTGGAAGATTGCTTAACAGCACGGAGTCCAATAGGTCGTACCCCGGAGCTTTATTGGGTGAATGAGATTTTATCTCCCGGCTTATTTCTTTAGGACTTACTGCTTTTAATGGGGGACATAATTGATTTGGAGACTGTAGATAATTCGCTATGTCATCGTCTTTATCGGGGTCGGAACAAGATAGTGGTGTAAATACTTTTTCTAGGTGTACTGCGAATGCTGTTGTTTTTTCTACATCAGTCCTAGCCCAGCTTCTATCCAGTTTTCTCAGGGGCGGGATGTGGTCTTTTGGTTGCTTAAGGTTCTTGGTTGCGCGCCACAGTGAATAATTAGTATCCTTTTGTGATGTGAGTTGAGATAAGTGACTTTGTACACAACGATTTTCATGCTCTTTAATTATGTCTTTTAGTTCCTTCGTTGCTCTGTTTAGCTGAAATTTATCGGAAGGATATCTAGTTTTATGCCATTCTCCTCTTATTTTGCGTCTTTCACTGATCTTTGCGATTATGTTTCTGGGGTATTCCTTTTGTTTTGTTTTTGATTTCCTATTTTTAGGAGTGGAAACGGTGATAGCCATGTTTACAATGCTGTTGAATTTTTCAACGCCGACTTCGATTTCATCGTTTGTCTTTAGACTTATGTTTAGGTCAATGTTACTACGTATAAATTCTCTGTACTGGTCCCAATTGGTATGTTTGTTGTAGATCTTGGGGAGTGGCTTAAGGAAAATGGCCTGTTTATAAATATTTAAAATGACTGGAGTATGATCTGATAACAGATCTTCACATTTTTCAATCTGTTAATAGTTTTGCCCAAGATTCTTTGAAATATAGAAGTCTAGCAAATCTGGTACTTTGTTATGGTCCGTTGGCCAGTACGTTGGTTCTCCGTGCAAGATACATTCGAGATTGAGATCTAGAGTGGCTTTATATAGCTGTCTGCCCCTAGGGTTGATCAGTCTTGATCCCCAGAAAGTGTGCTTGGAGTTCCAGTCTCCTCCGCAGATAAATACTGGGCCCAATTTGTTGAAAAATAGCTTGAACTCATCAGCCTCGATTTTGGGTCGTGGAGGGCAATAGATTGCAGTGAATGTTGTCTCAGTGTTTTTGTGGTGTATTTTAATTGATGTTGCCTGAATTTTTTCTGTTTTGTATACTTCAAGAAGGTAATGCTTTATGTTATTTTTCAGTATCACTGCAGTGCCGCCATGAGAATTTCCAGAAGGATGGTCGGTTCTATAGATCGTATAGTTATGGAACTTTATATGTGATCTGGGTGTAAGTCTTGTTTCAGATATCAGGGCAACATCAATATTCTCAGTGTTTATGAATAACTCAAGTTCTTTCCATCTGTCGGTCAGCCCATTGGCATTCCAGGTGATAATACGAATATTTAGTCCCTATGTGCGGTAAGTCGTGTAACTAGTTTGATCATCTGATCAATCATGCTGTCCATCATGTCTTTCATGATTTTTTGGAATCTTTCAAACATTGTGTCCAATAAGCTTGTTATATTCTGTTGGCTCGCGTCCAAAATAGGAACGCGTGACTGAGTAAAAGAATTGTCACGCTTGTTCTTCAGTACACTGGCATAGCTGAAGCCTGTGTGGTGCGTTGATTTGTCATTCTCGGTGATGCTCTGTTTTGGGTGTGTAGTAACGTGTGTTTGTTTGGGTTGTTGGGCGGGTTTGAGGCTTAGAATTTTTTCTTTGTACTGCTTATATTTAATGCAACCTTTGTAGCTCGCCGGGTGTTTGCCTTGACAATTAGCGCACACTGCTTCTAACTCAGAAGTTTTAGTACATGTGCTTGTTGGGTGATCTTTTACGCATTTGACACATCGAAAAGGTCTAAAGCATTGATTTTTACAGTGCCCAAATCTTTGACATCTCTTACATTGCAATACTTCTTTTTTCTTGTAAGGTGCTTCGATTGTAACTTTGACATGGTTGATGTATTTTATACTGAAAATATCCTTATTGTTGGCTTGTGGCTCTAAATCTACAAAGTAGAGAGGTAGTTTTTCTTTTGTTGTTCTATGCAATACGTTGACTATTTGACGTATGGCATACCCTTTGGCTTGCAGCTCTTCTTTAATCATGTTAATACTTTCTGACGCATTTAAACCTCTTATCACTACTCTGTACGCCCTTTCACTCATAAGTTTGTAAGTATAGTGGTTGATCTTATTTTAAATTAGATTGTCTCTTATTGTTTTATAGGTTTCGATGTCAACAGGCATTAGCTTAATGATATGTCCTGATCTAAGCGTAGTCATCGTAAACTTATCTATAGCCACAACTTTGACTATAAGTTCCCTTAAGGGTGTTATGTTGACAATACCAGTCACAAAAATTGGTTCTGGTTTTGGTATATATTCTTTAGTTTTAGGTGCGATTTCAGGATCTTCGTCGCTGAGGATGTCGAATTGGTTTCGAACAGGAACTTTATAGTTGACTTGTCTTGTGTACTTCTGTTTACTTATACTTTCCATTGGGCTGTCGGGTCTTTTACGTTTTTTATTTGGTACTTTGTCTCGCTGCCATTCGTTGATTGGTTGACAGCGTCGTCCGCTCCCAATCCGTTGCGTGATCTTTTATTAAAGTAAGTTTCATTGAAGTAGGCGTAGTGAATAAAAGTAAGTTTTGTATTAAATTTTTTTACAAACTGTTTCAATAATAACTATTTTGGACCTTCATCAAGCGTTGTGACAGGCCCTTGATATAAATATTTATTTTCACGCATATGCATGTTGTGTGAGTTTTATTAATTGATTTTATTTGAATATTTATATTCTGTAATGTAAATTAAGTGCTTAAGAATTTGGATTCTTAAGATAACTGTAAAATTCATTATTTATATTTTTAGTTTTTCCAACTTTGTTAATTATTATATCTTTAATTTAGATAAAAACGCGTACATCTTAATACTCACAGCGATAGAGTGATGCGTCTACCGCGCAAGTGCGCAGATGTATGATGGTGTATACTTTTATTCAGATACCATGAGCACCTCCGTGTAATGCGGCCGGCGGATAATGTCTAGGAAAGATTTCTTTCCAGAGGTTGTCTGTCGCGGCCCTCTGCCTATACCAGTGGACAACCATTAGTATCTTACTGATCGCTTAGTTCACGTTGATTACTCTAGCTCTTTTCCAGTTACAGTGTATACGAGTAGTAGGTGCAGTGCGCAGTTTTTCCGAACCTCTCAGACTGAGGGTCTTTCGAGAAAAATATAATTAATACTCTTTAATTTTTTTTTCTTACGCGAATTGTAATGTAGGTTAATAGAATAAAACTAAGTTTTTATTCGATGGTCATACTCCTTTTTAAGTGAAGAAACAAACATAAATGAAATATTTAAAATATTTCAAAAACATTTGTTATTCGCCAATACGCATTGATTTGACCTTCCCTGCTTAAAAATACTTTCAGAAATGAGAGAAAGCCTCTATCTAGAAGTTGCACACTTAGAGATTGTTACTTTACTTTTTTACTAGATATATAAGTAATTTTTAAAAGAAAAAATACGTAGATATTTACAGGTACCAAACGTATTTTCAACAATTGGAATAATAAGAAAAAGTTTAATATCTAAGTTTAGTTAAAGTAAAAAATTAGAACTTTATAGTGCATACTTGAATTAATTTCATATTTAAATTTCATGTACATGAAATGAAAGGAAATTCAGGGGTTAAATCACAACGTTACTCGTATTAATTTTGTCGTCAAAAGTTTTATGGAAATGGAAATTATATGACTTATATAACTTTTGTTTTAATTTATTTTCCATTACAACTAGATGGCATATATAAGTTAGCTGTAATTAATATGCTAAGTTTAAACATCTCGACTTCTTTGGATAGTGATAATGTTGATAGTGATAGTGATGAGAATGTTGATGATAATACCTCTGTATCTGTACAAAGACCACTTCTGTGCACCGTTAAAGTGAATAAAGAAGCCCGAGTTGCCTGTAAATCGTACCTTGAGTATAAAAGGTTAGCTGAAAAATGGACAGCGTGCGTTAAGAAGCCTGAAAAGAATATTGAAATCACTGTTGCAGTACTGTGTAGCTCCTAAATCTGAAAATTCTTTTCTTTGTGCTCTTGTTTCCAGTGAAAAATGTGAACAGATTAATAAAATTTTTGGAAGCTCAAGACTTGGCCAAAGAAGATGGTGTTTATAATAGCATCAGGAGTGAGAAGATGTATAAGACGACGACATAAATCTCAACAGAGGTCTACAAGCAAGTAACAAAGTGACCACAATATCTTAATCAATAAAACGCACTAGAATGAGAGTATGTAAATTATTTTTATTTTTATTTTTTTCTTAATACATTTTGCATCGAGGAAGACAGTTTTTGTCGCTGGACTAGTGAGGTTGATACTTTCGAAGCAAATATTGAGAGAAAAACTACAGAAAACACTACATCAAGTTCAAATATTATTGCTGGGCCAGGAACGAACTTTAAATTGACAAGAGTTTTTAAAACATGGCTGGATATTTTACTTAAAGTGCCGAGCCATTACTGTCGGTCTAGCTCAAAAAAATTATGTTGATTCGACTTTTCGATCTAAACTTCACATGCATCATGTTTTTAAGGAGTGATGTATTGAAAATCATTACAGAGCTGCCTCTAGAAATACATTTTCGAAATTAATAACTAGAAAAAAATATTGGCATTCACTATTTTCGCAAAGACCAGTGTGACACGTGTTGTAGTTATAAAACTGGTAACATTTCCAAAGAAGAATATAATAGCCATATTGTGAAGAAAATTGAAGCCCGTGAAGCCAAAAAGAATGCCGTAGCTAGTGCGAACGCAAAGGTTGTGGCTATAACAGTTGACGTTCAAAGTGTTTTGTTTGCTCCAAAGCTATTGGCTAGTGCATTTTATTAAAATTACAATATCTATCAATATCTAAATTATAATTTCACGGTTTATAACGTGCTATCCATAAACGTAACGATTTACTTTTGGCACGAAGCAGATGGTAATGTTACTGCTAATGAATTCATATTTTGTTTAATAGATTACTCACAAAACCAGCCACTTTCAATAGAGCGCATTATTATTATTTCTGATGGATGTAGATATCAAAACCTGAACTTAATTTTGTCAAGTGCCCTAAACGATTTGGTGCAAAGAGGAAATATTTGTATCGGATAACTTTACATGGAAAAGAGGCATACTATGATGGAAGTGGATAGTGTTCACTCTAGTATTGAACAATACACTAAACCACCAATGTTCACTCCAGTATTGAACAATACATTAAACCACCATGATTACATCACAAGACAAGCTCGAGCACAAAAGCCTTGTGATGTCAAATCCATTTAGCATGATTTCTTTATTTATCCAATGGCTCCATGTTTTATAGGTTAAGACATGTCAATGAGTGGTCTGTACTATCACAACAAAGAAATAATCAAAGAAACGGTCTGGTTTCTCTAAACGGATTGTACAGATCTCCATTAAAATTACTAAAAACAAGTTAAAACATTTACAGGAACTTAAAATGGTAATAGATCATAATTGTCATCCATTTTACTATGTATTACAATTTAATCCGGCTACTAAATGCATAATATAGGTACCTCAGAAAATTTTGATTTGTAAATTTCATTTTACTCAAACTTGTGGTTCAACTGTTCATATTATATATTCATATTATAATTAGTGCTTTCTGATAAATATAAATTATTTTCAATAAAATTAATGGTTTTTATTTTAGTTCAACCAAAATATTTTTGTGTTAACTATAATTTTTTTTACAATAATAATTTCAAAGAGCAATAGCAAAGTAAAAATAGAAAATCATTTGTATAGTTTCCTATATTTTTTTGTTGGTTTTAATATATTTTTCTCGGTAGACGGTATTTATCGATTTTCGCATAAAATTTATTGTTAAACATAAGAGGTCTTAAAGTCGCAACGACGATATTTTAATTTATTTCATTAGATTTTACATGCATGGCTACAATTTTGTTAAGTGAAATAAGTATTATAAGTACATACTAGCTTTTTACCCGCGACTTCGCTCGCGTGGGCATGAATTTAGAAACATCAATAAAACTATTTCGTATTAAAATCACACCTCAGTATGTGTATATTGGACATAGGAAATGATCGAAATTTGGCAAAATAATATGCTACAGAAACACATAAGTGAGTTTATCAGAATTGCATTAATATCATATATCGGGTGTCCCAGAAGTCGACGTCAAGCCGAAACTTTCTAATAAGCGAGGCCATACTAGTTACCAGAAAAATATAAAAAAAATCTAAGTCATGTATTTCAGAAATAATAGTAATTTTTTTTTCGATAAAATATAACCCCTGAGACAGTTTTTTTATTCCTTTTGCAACAAATATTTACTTTTTGCTAATTTTTTTTCTCTTACGTCATCCTGAATAGTGCTTCTGTAACCTGTAATCCTAAACCTTGTGCCGATCACTCCAGCTTGAAAGAAAATGTAATTTTATACCGAACCAAGTTTTCAGAATTAGTTTTTTCGCACTACTTCAACTGACGGTCCTTGAAAAAAATTGTACTACGCCAGTTTGGCAAATAGCTTCAAAAGTTAGCGCATTTAATAAGGATTCTAACGTGATATAACACTTTCTCCATCATTTCTTAGATCAGCCATAAAAATTTTTTTGTTAAACAAAGTCAGTTTTTAACAATTTTTTGGAACTTACATTAAAATGATTCTAGTGCAACCAAAGCGTTCCTAATGACCACAGCGTGGTTTAAATAAGATAGAAAGAGATATTCCATAAAGTGTGAGCGAGACAGTGACGCTAATGAGACACAGACGCAAATCAAGACAGAGAGCCATGCTAAGTGTGAGCAAGCAACACGCACTACAAATCAGTCAAGTACTCTGTGAAATCAGTACGCAACGCTACTTCGTTTACTACGAGTATGTATCTTTTCGTATTCACTGGTGATATCTTGTGTTCTTATTACTTTGGCTTCCTTTACAGGACTTGTTTGCGTGTGATTTGGATTTGGATTTGGACATTTGTGATCTCTTTACGACGACCTTTGCTTTTCCCTGGACTAACGTGTTATTGTGTATTTCTACCATACCATGGCTGTGTACACCACACGGGAATATGATAACATGCACCTCATTTATGAGGAATGCCAATGTAATGTGAGTGAAGCCGCTAGACGGTATCTCGAGAGATACCCTAATGCTGATCGCTATTCAGATCACAGAGTTTTTTCCAATGTGCACCATCTACTCTTCTCTGATGGCCGACTGCCAAACCAAATGCATGGTGAAGGTAATATTTTATTACCTTACGAGGAAGTAGTACTTCAAGCAGTTGATGAGGACGCAAGTTGTTCGGTACGTGGAATTGAGGCCAGCACAGGTGCCCAAAAAATATAGCTCACCGAATATTAAAAAAAATGAGCTCCACCCTTATCATGTACAGCGAGTATAAACATTATTACCTCGGGATTATGAACCTCGGGTTGCGTTTTGCCAAACCATGATTCAAAAACACCGAGAAGACCCACAATTCTTAGAAATTTTTTTGTGGTCGGATGAATCAACCTTTAAGAAAGATAGTGTGACGACCCAAAATTATTAATAATAATTGAATTCAATATAAAGGGGCGTCAAAAATATTCTTAAAAGATATATTTAAACAATAAAATTACATTAATAACCGTAAAGTTAATATAAACACATTTCAGACATTAGACCAATAACATAGTAAATTAAAGGCAAAATATTGTCTTCCATAATAAATAAATTTATTAAAAACTTGAAAAAATATTTAAAATAAGATAAATAATAGAAATACAAGTCGAAAATATTATAAAAATAAAGATAAATAACATTTATAAGATAATTAGAAAATGTGTCAAAAATTGTCTAAGTCTTGGAAGAAGTTCACGTATAAAAGAAAATTTTCCTAAGTTATGCAAGGTGTTCATGTATAGATGTCTTGTATGGAGGAGATGTCTGAGAGGAGATACACACCTGCAGCTGTACATATATATGGGGTGGTCGGGAGCCCGACTGCCTGAAGTACTGTAGCACAATGACTAGTCCTATATTAGGGACTTATGATAATAAACTCAATGATACAAAAGCAATACTATAGACGGTCTCCATGATGAATTTGCATAACAATAGTGGGGTCGTGGGTTGAAGTCCTATATATTAATGACTTATGAAAGTAAGGTCTATGGTACAAAAGCAATACTATAGAAGGTCTCTATGATGAATTATGCATTACAATAGTAGGGTTGTGGGTTCGAACCCTGTATATGAATGACTTATGGAAGTAAGGTCTATGATACAAAAGCATTATTATTGAAGGTCTCCTTGATGCATAAGCATCGTATGGGGTGGTCGGGTGACCAACTGCTCCTAGTACTGTAGCAAAATGACTAGTCCTTATTAGGGACTTGAAAAGGAATATTATGGTGGCGTGTATGCTGCTTCACGGGTCGGAGGTAAACTTGGACTCGCTAACCGATGTGTCCTAGACATATCATCTTAGTGCTGGTGGTAAGCGGGTTTGTTGTAGCAATACGGCTTTCCCGTGAACATCGCATACCCATACCGTTTGTGGGCGGCGTAGTAGCGCATAGCGATGCGTCGTCTGTATTTCGGATTGGGATGATGAGTGTCTTTTAAGTCTAACAGGCATACTCAACTTCATGTCTTAGTGCATTAGCGCTATGATACGTGGAGTACGTTGGAGATATTTTTTATATAACAACAATAAAAAATTTGTTACCAAAATCGATAGGGGTCATGTGGGTGTGTTGTGAGGGGGCGCCATCCGTATGATAGTTGCATTGATGCTTACTGCTACTTGCGGTATTGCGTCTTGTGATGGATCTGCGGGTGTGCTGCGCCTGATTCGACGCACTCTTGTGGTTCTGGTCGATGGAGGTATACTGGTGGTGATGTCTGCTGGGTTGTATGGGGGACCTTGGGATGGTATAAGCCGACGATAGTCGTATTGATGCTTGTTGCGTTCTGCAGCATTGCGTCTCTGCGATGGTTGTTTGGTGGGACGCTATTCTCAATGGCCCTCT